AATGACATCAACCTTTCTGCTGTGGTGTCTGAGGCTAACTTGGTTGGAAATCCCAAAGAGTGGTGGGTTGACACTGGAGCAACTTGTCACATATGTGTGGACAAGAATATGTTCACTATCTACAATGAGGCTGCAAATGGTGAGCAACTTTTTATGAAAAATTCTTCTACTTCTACTGTGGCTGGACAAGGAAAAGTGATCTTGAAGATGACATCAGGGAAAGAACTGACCCTCAACAACGTACTGCATGTACCTGACATCCGAAAGAATTTGGTTTTTGGCTCTTTGTTAAGTAAAAATGGTTTTAGGCTTGTATTTGAGTCTAATAAATTTGTATTATCAAAAAGTGGTATGTATGTTGGTAAGGGATATGTTTGTATTCAGAAATTTCGTATTTCACTTCTGTTTTCTATTCTTCATCTTGCTGCATTTTATTTTTCAAAAAAAAAAGAGTGTGAACACTTAGTGTGTTCGTAAGGCAAACAATTTGTAGTGCTGCTATTGTTTGTAGTAGATCATTTCATCTTGGAAGATAGACGTCCAATTTCTGAAAGCACCGAGGAGAGGACGAATCTGTCTTAAGGACACAGTGTCAAACACTAGACTTGATCAGATTATAATTCGAAGAAATTAAATCAAGTAAGTTATTTAATTTATTTCCAGTCTTTTATTATTTATTTAAATCAGATTTTAATTTTGTTTTTGTAACAAAATAAAATATGTTTTTATTTATTTATTTTTATTTTTTTTTTTATTTCGAGTTTGATTTTTGTAATCAAACAAATTCTCTCATTTCCTTTATTTCTTTATATTCTGATTGTTGTTTAGTACACAACAGAATTTAATTATTTTAAATACAGTAAAGATTGTCGTACAATCATCTATCGTGCAAATTGGTACTCAAAGGTCTTTATCATACTACAATTTTGAAATTGTGAATGCCCATATTGGGGGTATGCATTATACACAATTTAATTATTTGTTCACTCTTACACTCACAGTGCTATAAACTCTCAGTATATTAGAGGAAATCAGAAACGAAAAAAAAAAAGAAGAAAAGAAAAAATAAAAAGTATGCAATATTTAGCAAGTCCAGATCCTCTGTCGTTGTTCTCTGTAGTGGTTCTTGCCGTGGGCCAGAACAATGTCGTTTGGACAAAAAAAAAAATTACCCTGTTTTCTTCTTTTCCTAAGCTCTCAAACATTTTAAAGCAGCACCTATGAACCATCGAACAGAGAGATGAAGAGGAGAGTGACGACGGCAGCGAGGATTTAGACTTGCACAACTTAGCCAAACAAAAGACCAAAATGATCCTCATGTTTGCCAAACAAAAGACCAAAATGATATTTATGTTTGGGATGTGAATTTCTGGATATTGTTTATTTGCTTGTTTTGACATATGGGTTCTTGTTATTTTTCCATTTTATGTTCAATTAATTCATTCTTAGCCCTATTTGGTTGTAATGTGATATTTTGGATATGAACTTTTAGATCTGAAAAGTACATTTGGTGTTTTTGAGAATGGGAAAAGTTTGGCCATCCATAGTAAGCCACGAAGTTTAATTGCTGCTCGCCGTCGCCGTTGACACGGTGGGAGGCGGCGGCAGCAGCGACAAGGCTACACTTTTTGGGTCAATTTTTGGGCGTCGCAGCGAACAATAGTAGAGATCTGGACTCCATTAGAAACACTAATCCCCTAAAACAAAAACCCTTAGATTCACCACTATTTTACTTAATTGAAGTGAAAAGGAACAATAAAACATAAAAAACCTTCATTTTTATACTTGAATCATATTATAGAACTGAATGTATATATATATATATGGGGGGAAGGGTATATAAACTGGTAGAAAGGTGAATGAAGGTCTGGAGATTGAGCTTCTCAAAGAGATTTGGTGTCGTTAATGGCAAAAATGTCGCTCCACTCCGATGCCTTCTGCTGCAACTATTGCATTCTCTCTCTATAACTATCTCTCTACATTCTCTTCAATTTGACGGAGCAATGAAGGAAGGGTGTCACCTCGCTGCCGCCGCCATCGCCTCACCATGCAGTCATCGCCACACCGTCGTCTTCCCTCTTCATCTCTTTGGTTTGAGAGCTGAGAGAAAAGAAAATGAGAGGAAAGGAAAAATGCAAAAAAATAAATAAATAAAGTGCCAAAACATGGTCGTTTTGATATCACCGCAAAGATCACTACAAGAAACCATGGCAGAGGGTTTGGACTCGCATTAGCAAATCACCAACTGCAAAATACAGACAATGACATGGCAGTGACATTCCTTTAGAAACACACCTTATGGTTTTCTTATTGGCGATGTTTGATGCAGTTTATTGCATATTAAGGCCTCATTTGGCAATATCACTGTTTAGCCTAAAAATCAAAAAGTTACTAAAAAAATCAAAGGGCCAACAACCTATATCAAAAAGTCAAAAAAAAAAATTTCTCTCTATTTTTTGTACATCTTTTCGTAAAAAATCAAAAAGTCATTCCAAACATACTAATTTTTTTATTTTATATTTTAGCTAAAAAATTTAAAAATTACTAAAATAGCATATTTCCAAACGAGGCTTAAAAGTTGGAAATTCAAAAACAAAAGCCAAAAGCATCCATCGCTTAGCTTTTAGAAATTAGTGGTTTTTTTTTCTTTTTAAGTCAATTATGTTATTTTTACTTAATAAATTATAAGCAGAAACTCTATCAAACCGTTTCATACAAACTTCTAAAATAAAAAAAGCTTTGTATTAAATAAAAGAAATATTAAGTCTAATTTTAACAATTTAAAATCAAAATGGGCAAGGTATACCTATACAAATAAGACCCCGTTTGAAAACTTAGGTTGAGTTTAGTGTAGAATCACGATTTTACACCCATATTTGAGTGCTGTGTTCGGATATAATTCTTAAAAATTAATTCTGCATCCACTTTTGAAAACTCCTTCCAATACTTAAATTTTGAATTTCAAAATTTGGTCTACTAGTCGTCCGCCCGGACAGTTTTTGAATTTTTGGATGTACACGGTCGTCCTCCCGGACGTCTGGCCGGTTGACCAGAACAGTGGTGTTTTTTTTTTTTTTTTACACTGTTATGTGAAAAAAAATTTAAATAAATTTTTTCAATAGTTATTTTTTAGAATTGAATTTTAAAAATAATTTGGTTATGGGTTTTGAATAGAATTTTCAATCGAATTTTGAGTTGTACGTTTGGTTATGAGTTTTGAATAAAATTTTCAATCGAATTTTCAAAACTCTTCTTAAAACTCATAATCAAACAAATTTTCTCTTTTAAAATTATAATTTCAAAACTCACAAACTCAAAATATAATTCTATTTTCAAATCATAATTTTAAAATTTTACTAAACGCTACCTTAGACTTTTAGAGAAAAGTTACTACAAATTATTACAACAATTTTTCTAAATTTTTATTTATTAATTTTAATATAAAAATAATAATTAAAATGATCAATTCCCAACGACACTAAGCGAGATGAAAGTGAACTAGTAGGGAGGGAGGCTTGGGTTGGGTTGTATGGTTGATCCTGTTTTCATCTTTTGAGCCCTGAATCTGAATGAATTAACAAATAAAGAACTAAAACTAGCACACCATCACCAACAACATGATCATGATGATGAACGCCGCGGTCGGTAATATTTTCCCTTTTTTGCCTTCATTATCCAAAACATTATCCTACTCCTCCTCGCCGACCCTCTTCTTCCCTATTCTTTCCCCTCGAACACCATCCACTCGATCTCTCGTAATTGAGACGACCACCGTCGCCGAAGCTCAAACTTCAGAGGAGGCTCGTTCGGAGTCTGTTGCTCGCCGCCTAATCCTGCTTCGTCATGCGAAGAGTTCATGGGATGATCGTTCATTGCGAGGTATCCCCTTTCTTCCCTCCCTCCCTACCTCTCCCCCTTATTTCGATTCTCTTTTGCGCTGCCTCTGGAAAATGTGTTTGTTGTTGATAATGCCTCCCTCCCTCCTTCTTATCCCTTTATGCTGTGCTGTGTTTTGTTGGAGCACTTGGGGAGGATTGGGAAATGGAAAGGAAAAAGATAGGTGAAAGGTGTGTGACATGTAGTCCCCTTGCCTTTTCCATTCCCGAATTCCTCCTCCAATCAAACACAGCCTTATGTTTGCTTTGAACTTAGGAATTGATACGGGAACAGAAAGTGACAAGGAACACCGTTTTCCTTTTCACTCTTACTTCCTAATAAATCATTTTTTTTTAATGAAGTGATTAGGAATAATGAAAAACAAGAACTAAGCTGTGTTGGCTCACTGCAATGAAACAGAATGGAATGGTCATTCGATCAAAATCTTCATTTCTGTGTTTGGTTGACTAACAAAATAATGATAAAATTTATTTTAAATGGAATCATCATTCATTATTTTAAGGGAATAATCATTTCATACGAGAGTCTAAGGAATCATCATTCCATTTTATTCCAAATGTGAACCAAATAGATTATAAGATTTCTCATTTATCAATTTTAAAAAAAAAAATGTATTAAGATTTCTCTCATATTTTCTTCTCCTCTTTGTTTTCCATGGTAAAGATTTTTTAATTATAAATGACTATTATATAAAAATACCATCCACGGTATAGAGAAGGATGAAAAGCATGATATGACTTAGATTTTGAAATCCTCTGTGTTCTTGTATTCCAAATGGACATTTGTCACTTATTTTGCTATTAGACGGTTTCACTTGCACTGGTGGCAACTGAGACACAACTACTGATATTTGTAAATGAGGACTCCTGTTGTTGTTTTTTTGTTTTTTTTTTTTGTCTAATTAATCGTTACACTTCATTGCAAAGTCACCTCGTAAACACTTTAACCACTTTAAAATAAAAAAATAAAAAAATAATAAAAAATAAAAAAGGTGAGCAAAAATGCTTAGAGGTAAACTCATTTCATGCATTTTTCTTTTTATTGTTTTGATAACCAAAATCGTGTCAGGCTTCTTGATACCTGCTTCCTTCTTTATCTTGCAAAGATCATGATCGCCCTTTGAGTAAAGCGGGACAAGCTGATGCTATTGAAGTTTCACACAAGCTCCAGCAGTTGGGTTGGATTCCTGAGCTTATTTTGTCCAGGTTAGGATTCTCTAGAAATACTTGCACAGTACAGATGACCCCATAAGGCTAGATTGACTTGTGTACAATGAGTGAATAGTTCATCATTGGATCGGAAATTCTCTACTGGTGTCTTGGTGTAGTGATGCAGTGCGAACAAAGGAAACACTTAAAACTATGCAAGAGCAAGTGAGAGGATTTTTGGAAGCTGAGGTACATTTCATTTCGAGCTTTTATTCAATTGCAGCAATGGATGGACAGACAGCTGAGCACCTTCAACATGCCATCTGTAAATTTTCAAGGGACAAGATACTTACAGTTATGTGAGTTCTGCTGACTGTAACAGCTTGTTTGGAGTTCCATTTAATAGGTGAGGTATTTGTGTGTATTAAGGGTGCATCTTGATGGCAAATGGAAAAGAAACTCTTGGTGTGTTTTACATAGTATGTCAAATGAATTCAGTAAACTTGTATAGTTTTTGTAATTAGTCTACTTAGCTGTGATTTTAAATTTTTATTTAAATTGACATTTCCATATATGGTTTCATTTTTTTCAATAGCAACTATCATCTCCATGGGACCTCTGATGACCCTTGTCATGTCTTGACAATAGATGTCTTTTCAATAACAATCTAATTTATTTAGTTTTAGAATGTACTTGTGTAGGAAGCAAGTAGGACTATACAGGTGTAGATACTAATATTCTCACTTGTTTTTTCCTTTGTTTTTTCTTATCTCTGTCTTATTAGTTTTTTTTTTCTCACATAATTTATATAGAAATATATAAAAAAGTTCATTAAGAATTTTGACAGAAAGTTAAATGTACAGGTGTATGGGACATAACAGAGGATGGGAGGAGGCAGCCTCAATGTTCTCAGGCACCTCCATAGAGCTGAAGACTTGCAATGCTGCTTTGCTTGAAGCTACTGGGAAATCGTGGGAAGAGGTTAAGCTCATATTTCATGCAATTTGTTTTGACTAGTGACATTATGCATATGTCATTTATCAAGTGTGATTTGAACATGTGCTCTGGCACTTTTAGAAATCTATTCTATGTTTCATTTATGGAGAAATTTGAGAAAATAAATTTTTATCTAGGGATTCGAGTTATCATGCAGCCAAGAGTTTTACACTGTTTAGACATTTATATTGATTCATAACTATAGGTCAGCAAAGAATTTCAGTAGATACAAACCACGTAGAATTTGTGCAATCCACTAAAAGTTGGGGGTGCCTGCCCAAGGAACATGGAATCCGTCTTGCGATTGCATGTTTGATATATTACACTGGTCGTTAGACCCTTTTAAGTGCCATGAATCTGGAGGGTTTTTCTATCAAAAGTTGATTTCAGGAAACAAGTCAATCAAATTTATTATATGAAAAATCTTTCTACAATGAAGTTGTTGGCCTTTTTTCCATTTGCATTTCTTTGTGAATAAACTTAATTGATTACAAGTTTAAGGCACTCCTTTTCAGGAGAAGGATCATTTTGCACTACTTAAAAGGAAATAAGTTGTTAGTTATTTTATGGCCTCTAATAAAGTTGTACAGTAAAATATGATGCAAGACACGAGCTAAGCAAAAAGCAATGTTTGGATTGAACTGGTAATGAATAAATTCATTGTGGTAGAACATACACAACGTAAATCAGCTCTTCAATAATTGCTACTTGTTAGGTCATATCATATGATTAAAATTCGAGTGAAAATTGTGAAAGAGTTAATGTAAGGTGTATACGGGGAGGATCTGATGGTTGAAGGTTTGCTAGTGAGTGGTTGAACACGCAGATACCATGAGCCCAAGAAGAGACTAGGAGAGAGGAGAAGCAATCCACAGAGAGAGAGAGAGAGAGGGACAGTGCAGTACCAAGGACCCCAAGGACAAAGCTCAAGGAATGTGTGACCTCAAGGATGACCTCTCTGATGTATGAAGGAGGAGATGAATGAATGTTCCCTGAATTAAGGGGTACCATCTTCTATTCCGTCACGTGACTTGTAAGTTGTAACCAACTTTCTGGTTATTCTAGAATTATGTTAGAATATTCTGTGGAATGTGTCAGAGCATATCATTACATTAGTGTTTGTCTTGATCCTCGGGACTTTGTACACAAGCCCAGTGGTGTGGTCCCTCTCTGTCAGTAGGACTAGCCAACGGCAACTTGGAGCGTAGGTCCGCAGCGCATACCAAACACATTGACATGCCTAAACCCTACCTATTTGGCTTAGGTGCTTGAGTAGTGCGCTTTGAACTGCCATAAATCAAGTCACACATGAAGACTACAGTAGCATTAGTATTCGTGATGCATATCTTGACTGACAGCCTTGTGGTGAAGTATTGCGGAAGTGGGATAGACTTAGCGTCCTCATGATGTTTTGCTTGGACTGCAGCTAACACGTGTAAGCCCCATCCCAACATGTCCAGCATCAGTTATCCTTCACGTGTCCACAAAAGTTGTCCCACGCAGGAAATACCTACATAAAACTCAAAATGACTTTTGAAATGGCTCTAGCTTCTTCAAGCATCACTTGGACGAAAGTATGTCTAATTGAGATGATATAAACACAACCTATGTGGGCATGCGACAGTCTCACATCAGAAACATGCAGGGAGGTTTGCTCATCACTTTCTCTATAGGGTTCGAGTGGGCATGCGAAAATTTAAGCACTTTGTTTCCTGATTGGTTTTGGACTCTCTTACATATAAAAATACTCTTTTCTGTGATTAGGGAATGAGACACTTGAGATACATCAATTTTTGCATTCTTGAGAGTTATAAACCCTACATGGTGAGTGTTCTGTGTGGATCCCATCATTAACTTGATCTACTGTAGGTACATTCTAGGTTAAGTATTTTGTATAGAACACTCACTGCATAGTTTTATCGCTTCAACCATTGGTCATTGGTAATGGAGGGCGTATGAAGATTGGAGCACAATAGGATCAGAGGAGGTTGACTGGGTTAGAGCTATGTGGAGTGGAAATCACTTTTAAGTTTAATTTCTGGTAATTTAAAAAAAGGACATTAAATTTTAAGTTTGGTCCAACAATCCAATACCAAAATTAATACAGCCTGTCCCTAAGTTATTGCTCACAGTGCTCAGAACAACCTCAAATCAGAGTCCAAATGTCCTCTCTGTCACCCCCAAAACCTGATTCTTTGGTCACCCCATTCAAACCTTTAAAAATCCAATACTTCTACCAACCTTTCAGCAACAAAAACAAACTAAAATCAGCCTCAAAAGCTCGATTATTGTATATTAGTTTTGGACTCACTGCTAGTAGGAGAGTTTTCCTCCTACGTGTCCCACATTGCATAGTATAGATTCCTAGCTGTCAAACATTGCCCCTGATGTGCTGTTTGGCTCTGTAATTCCCTTTAACAATTTGCTCAAACACAGAGAACATTTAGATTGTAAAAAAGTACACCCCGTTTAGTCATTGGATGGAGGTATGGGAGAGGTAGAATGGATACAAATCTATCTTTTAGCATTATTTGCATAAAGTGGCTCTCCTCATGTTTCAATCCACAACCTCCAGATTGATACGCCCAACATTTAAATTGGTGCAACATATATTTTTCCTTTACCAATAAAACTCTGCATTCTTAAAATTATGTGGTTAGATGATTTAGACATCTCTTCTAGTTTTGGTGGACATTTAGTATGGAATTATGAGTTGTTCAATTGTTTTCAGTAATGAAGACTTGGATTGTACAACTACAAAAGACCATAAATGAACATGAGTCGATGTTCCTGGTGAAATATATGATAGTAAGTTCTGAGTGACGAAGTAAACACATGCTATTGCTTAACTTTTGATTAAGGATGATGGTGAGGAACAAAAATGGAAATTTGATGTTGAAAGAGTAAAGAGGAAGGGTAACATTCGGACTTAAATGGCAAAACAACTGTATACATACATATGGATTAATGTGTGTACTCTTTTTTTACACACATTAAACTTCGTCCCTTCCAATTGAATCGAGCTCTGTTTTTCACCAACACCATGGAAACGGCTGTGTTCTACGGGAATAAAGGTTTGCAATTTTTTGATAAGGGTATCGCAATGACGATGGAGAGATGGTCAGATGAAAAGCATAGGTGTTTTAACGTTATTGCCTCATATGGAGGATGGATTGCTATTTGCAATTTGCCATTTAATCTATAGAATGATATGCCATTCGAAAGGATTGGGGCGAGCTATGGAGGGTTATTAGAAGTGGATAACAAAACCAAGAATTTTGAAAATCTTTTCGAGGCAAGATTGAAAGTGAGGGGATCTGATTCTGAGTTTTTACCATCAACCATTGAGGTTACGACGGGTGTAGGCTCAATCACAGTTCGGGTGAAGCCACTGTCGAAACCTTTCAAAAGAAGAGAGTCATAGGATAATCTTTCGATTGTAGTGTCTACTAATCATAGGCTTGAGAGGAATGATATTCTTGAGAATGATGGCAATGAATCTGAAAAGTGGTTGAGGAAAATGAGTAAGTATGTGTCTTTCCCTTTGGAGGAGGGAGATGTGCCTCACTTTACACAATTACTTGACACTCTTGGTTTGTCCCTAGTTAGGAAGAATGGGAAGAAGTCTAGGTCTAGGAGTGTGGGGTTTGTATCTAAGTCTGGTAGTAGTCATAGAAGCTCGGGGCAGGGGATGAGGGAATTAAGAAATCTTGAAAGTGGCATTAATTATGAGGGGCAAAGGAAAGAGACAAGGGGTGATGTTGGTTCTCAATGAAGATTTTGAGTTGAAATGTTAAAGGACTACGGTCTTGTAGGAAAATGGTGGTAATTAAAGTGGTTTTGAAAATTCATTAACCAGATATAGTGATATTTCAAGAGACAAAGTGTGAGAAATGTGATAGAGGTTTCATTAGGAGTGTTTGGGGGACCACGTTTAGGAGATGGGCTGTTTTGGCTCCTAGCTGGAGATCAGGGGGAATTTTGATTATGTGGGATGAGAAAGTTGTATCGGAGTGTGAGATAGTTGTTGAGGTGTTTTCATTGTCCATTAGGTTTAGGAATCGGTATAACAAGGAATGGTGGTTGACGAGGGTTTATGGTCCCAATAGGCCTAGTAGTCGTCAGGAATGATGGGAGGAGTTGGTGGGATTATTTGGGCTTTGTTCCCCTAATTGGTGTGTGGGCGGCAGGGATTTTAATGTGGTTCGGCTTATTTCGAAAAAACTCAATGAGGTTTCCACAAATAGGAGTATGCGGGATTTCAACTCTTTTATAAGGGATTATGAGTTGCTCAACCCTCCCTTGAGTAATGCTCGGTTTACTTGGTCCAATCTTCAGGAAAATCTTGTGTGTTGTAGATTGGATAGGTTTCTTCATACTCTAGGGTGGGAGGAGTTATTTCCTGATATAAGGCAAGAGGTAGGGCCAAGAGTTATGTCAGACCATTGCCCGGTGATTCTTAAGAGCTGTCCTTTTAAATGGGGTCCTACCCCCTTTAGATTCGAGAATATGTGGTTGGAAAATCGATCTTTTAAGGCGAATTTTAAGGATTGGTGGGAAAGTTGTAGAGTCCATGGGTGGAAGGGTTTTATGTTTATGCAAAAGCTAAAAGGGGTCGAGGATAATTTAAAGGTTTGGAAGCGTGAAGTTTTTGGTGATCTAAATGAGGTGAACGCGGAGTTAGTTCGGGATATTGAGGAATTAGATGCAAAGGAGTCTGGGAAGGGTTTATTTGGGGTTTTGAGGGATAAGAGATCATTGCTCAGAATGAAGTTGGAAGAGCTTGTTTTTAGGGACAGATTTTTTGGAGACAAAGAGCTAAGTTGAAATGGGCTAAAAAGGGTGATACCAATTCTAGATTTTTTCATAGGGTTGCATCGGGAAAGAGGAGGAAGAATTTTATTAAAAATTTGGAGGTAGGGACGACAGATATTGGATGTAATCTTAGTGGCAAATGAGGTTGTTGAGGAGTATAGAGGGTTACATAAGGAGGGTGTTGTCATTAAGGTTGACTTTGAGAAGGTGTATGACCATGTTGATTGGGGCTTTGTGGATTTTGTTTTGGAAAGGAAGGGGTTTGGATCTAGGTGGAGAATGTGGATTTAGGGGTGTTTGTCGTCTTGCAATATGTCGGTCATTGTGAATGGTAAGGCTGGGGACTCTTTTTGAGCATCTAGGGGTCTAAGTTAGGGTGATCATTTATCATCATTTTTGTTTATTTTAGTTGTTAATGTGTTGAGTCGGATTATTGATATAGCTAAGGATAAGGGTGTTATTAAGGGATTTGTGGTGGGGAGGGATAGGATTGGAGTCACTCATTTACAGTTTGCGGATGATATTATATTTTTTTCATCAAAGAAGGAAAGTAAGGTGAGTTGTTTGCTAAAGATTCTGAAAATTTTTGAAATTGTGTCGGGACTCAAGGTCAATCTTAGCAAGAATAGTGTTGTGGGTATTAATCTGGGAGAGAGCTATGTGCAAAGGGTGGCGGATATATTAGGATGTTCCGTTGAATTTTTTCCTATCAAATACTTGGGGCTTCCATTGGGGGGAGATCCTAGAGTGGCGTCCTTTTGGGAGCATGTTCTTGTCAAAATTAGGAAAAGATTTGAGGTATGGAAGTGAGCTTTGTTGTCTAAGGGAGGGAGATATACTTTGATACAGTCTGTATTAGGCTTTGTTCCTATTTATTTATTTTCCATATTCAAGATTCCAATTAGCATTGCGAGGAAAATTGAGAAATTGATGAGAGATTTTCTTTGGGAATGGTGTGAAGAGGGTAAAAGGGTTCATTTGGTTAATTGGGAGGTTGTTTCACTTTCTAGGGATAAAGGGGGTCTGGCTATAGGAAATATCATCGCTAGGAACATTGTTCTCTTGGGCAAGTAGTTGTGGAGATTTCTCGTTGAAAGTGATTTGCTATGGTGTTTAGTTGTTAAGAGCAAATATGGTGTTCAACCCAATGGCAGAGATTATAATATGGTTAATAGAGGCAATTGTCATTCTCCGTGGAAGTCCATTTCTCGCTTGTATCCACTTGTGTTTAATTTCCTTTCATTGAGAGTGGGGAATAGGGTGAGCGTCCGTTTTTGGGAGGATGTGTGGGTAGGGGATATCTCGCTTGATATGTTTAGCTGTCGAGAGCAAGTATGGTGTTCAACCCAATGGTAGAGATTCTAATGTGGTTAATAGAGGCAATTGTCGTTCTTCGTAGAAGTCCATTTCTCACTTGTATCCACTTGTGTCTAATTTCCTTTCATTGACAGTGGGGAATGGGGTGAGCATCCGTTTTTGGGAGGATGTGTGGGTAGGGGATATGTCGTTTGATAGAGCTTTTCCTCTTCTTTATCGGTTGGTTCGTTCTAGGAATGTTTCGATAGCGTCGGTGGCATGCTCTTCTATGGCACCCATCTCTTGGAATTTTGATTTCCTTAGGAACTTAAATGATAGGGAGGAGGTGGCTGAGTTGGTATCTTTGTTGGTCTTGCTTGCTTCATGGGATATCTCTATCTTCCTCTCATGGCATTAGGGGATGAAATCTTAGTTCTTCAGGGGTCTTTTCCTGTAAATCCTTTTTTGATAAGCTTATAGATAATCTTTTTATTTCTTTGCTTCCTATTCATAAGAAAATTTGGAAAACGGTTGCCCCTCATAAAGTGAAGTTCTTCATGTGGTCTTTAGCTCAAAGGAGTGTCACAACTAATGGTGTTCTCCAAAGAAGGCGGCATAATCACTCTCTTTGCCCTCAATGGTGTGTGATGTGCAAGGGATTCGGATGTAGCGGATCATTTATTCCTTCATTGCCCAGTGGCTTTTCTATTATGGCAGTGTCTTTTCGGCTTATGTGATGATTAGTGGGTTGCTCCGCGGGACTGCATTCTAATGCTCCTTGTTAGGTTCAAAGGGTTTGGGGGCACCAAAAGAGCCAAAACATTGTGGTCAAGTATTGTTTTTGAGATTTTCTGGACTATATGGTTGGAGAGAAATGCAAGACTCTTTGATGGCAAGGAATCAAACGTAGAGGCTTTGTGGGATAGGATGGTATACTTGGCTTCGTTTTGGGCATTTGTATCACCTCCTTTTAAAGGAGTTCCCTTGTTCTTGATCTCTAGGGATTGGGTTGCTGTTTGCCATACCTACATGTAGGAGTTTTGTGCTTTTGTTTTGTTCTTTCTCCTTCTTTGTATGAGGACTTCTTGTCCTCTTTCATTTTTCTTTTTTAAATAAAATTTTTGTTGATGCTCATAAAAAAAAATGTGTGTACTCTCTTTTTGTTGTTGTTGTTGTGTATATGCTGAAGTGATCAGAGGGTAAAAACAGAAATATAGGTACTCACTGAATAGTTGGACTTCATTGAAATTTTTTGGATAGTAAAGGGTGGACGGCAGATGCTTTTATCTGCTTTTGTTGTATTAAATGGGCAGAATTGAAATCTTGTCTACTTTTTCTGGTTCCCTGTCTAACCCATCATCGTCTTTCAATTGCAGGCATTTTCTTTGGCAGGATTTGGTGGGTGGAAGCTCCAGGGCATAGTGAAGCCAAATTCTAATTTGTAGGATTGTGTTCAGTTATGAGTACCACTACTTCCAAAATACCAGGCCTTACTTATGATAGGGCTGAATACAAATTTTCAAACTTGACAAGCAATTTGTGAGATAGGCAAGGAGTGGAAACCAAAGTTGAGTGAATTTGGATGCATTCGCTTATGCAGGCGATAGTTTATTATATATGGCTTGCAAAAGTTTTTTTTTAAAAAAATGGTTGTTTTTATACCTCTGCTTCTTACTAGATTGTGTTCTGTAGCCCTGTGTCAAAGATTGTGTTGGTGGTCATATTGTCAACTTGCTAAAGGTTTATTGAATTAACAGTTGTGATGTGGAACAGATCATTACCTACAATTATGTTAGTGTGATCAAATTGTCAATTTATTACATGAACTAGATCAGTGAACTTTTAAATCATTGGATGCAGGATGATGAACAAAGAGTATCCAACTCAATGAAACCACGGCTTTTCTATTGTCACCGAGAAACTTATCCCCCCCACACCCACCCCCAACCAAGCAGCATGCCTATTTAAAGAAACCAACATCATCAACAGCATAAGAATCGAGCTCCAGAGAGAGGCGAGAGCTTCTCTATGAGATTTTCGACCGAGTTTTGGCGACAGTCCGGAGACCTCCTTCACACTTCTAGAGTGTAGATCCGAGTTTTTTATGTTAGGAATAGGGATTTTGTGGTATTTCTTTATTTTTAACATAGATTTTTGGTTTTTCCCAATGGTTTTTTGCTATTGTGGGGTTCATAAGCTTCAACCTTCTGGTGCAGCGGCAACAACAGTAGAGTTCGAGTAGCGGCGATGGCGGACGACATCTTCGGTGATGGCAAGAGTAGACCTTCCATCCATAGGTTGGAGCCCATGCCACATCTGCCAATAAATTTGTGGTTTTCTCAAGCTGCGACTGTTCTTTGAGATTTTTTGTTGTTTGTAATAGATTTTTTCTTTTCGTTGTTCTTGTACTATATTTTTCTTTTAAAATATTGCCTATATTTCTACTTCTTAAAAAAAAAAATTTAAAAAAAAAAAATCATAAGAATCACAAAAATTTCCTTCAAAACCTACTTCATTGACCAACATTTCATTTAGAGATTTATTGCCTTTCAATCATTTTAAGACAACCATTATAAATTCTTGTACATTTGAGTAGTCCAAACATCTTATCATAAAGGCATGATTGGGGATTGATCTTGTACATTTGTGTAGTGCAAACATCTTATCATAAAGGCATGATTGGGGATTGATCTTGGCTACGAGAACACTTCCCAAACTCCACAAACTTGGTTGGCTACTATTTAATAAAGCTTACTGATGGTTTTAGTACCTCAATGACCATACATTTACAGGGAATAATCCATTGGTTGCACCCTTCTAGGTTACTTGCAAAACCAGTCTGGGTTCGTGCACCAGTGGTGTTCCTCCCAGACCCTCCGACGATCTAGTTAGAAAATTGGAATATCCTCCGTGTGTGCATGGGGACGGGTTCATTTGTGTGTACCTTGATGTTTGGTCCAAATCATTCTCCAAAGGTATCCGTTGTCCCCCATTCAGCAATTGCCACTTTGGTTTTGTACCGTTTGACACGACTGAACTACTGGTTGACATGTTCTTTCCCTCATCGTTCAATCATTATACCTAACCAATCAACTTTTTATGGAAGTGGGTCTAGGCCTACCAAGTGGAGTCGGCAGACTTGAACCTCAAGTCATTCTTGCCAACCAGGCTGCCATGCCCCTGCTTCGGCTGGGCTAGGCTTAGTTGGTGAGGTGTGACCTAGACTGGGCTAGGCGCCACAATGGGCCATAATCTCCCAGTATCATCATCTACCGTTCATTATAGCAAACATCTCTTTCATTTTCCAACACCACCATCTTCACCACCACGACCCATGATCACAACCTCCACATCCACCCTAACATCATCAAAATGAGTTTTATATATTAAATGGGTTGGTCAGGTAAATTTGTTCGACTAGTAATACAATCCAACTCGCTTAAACCTGTTTATCAAATGGGTTGGTTTAGATTCTCACCCGCCTAAATTAGCCTGTTTGGCACCTCTACCCATTACATTACCCCAAATAAGAATGTGTGCATATACAAATACAATAAATGCACAAATGCTCATCTACATTCATAGTGCATGTGTACATGTGATCCTACAAACATCTTGTTATGCGCATATACACATCATCCATCATCTATGCTAAAACACTCATCTACTCGTCCTATGCCTAGACTTGAATATAGGCACAAAAACTCTACCAATATCAATGAGTCCATACTTTCATAGTAAACCTCTATGTATCACGCTCCTGTGAATTCTTATTTACATTATACATCACTGTATATTAAGTTCCTATTTATATATACATAGGCATACACACATTTATCTACCACTAGTTGTCTAAATCATCTTTGAATAATGATTTCATAAGTTGACAAGGAATAACCCCTCTTGGTTTGCACTTTTCCTCAACAAGGCAAGATTGCTCTAACAAACACTATGCACCATTCATCACAATTTCCCATCAACATCAAAACCATGTATTCATGATGCAGCACCAATTACCAAATTCCTGTCCATTTGACAGTCCCAAAAAAAAAAAAAAAAAAAAAAAAAAAAAAAAAAAAAAAAAAAAAACAAGAGTAAATTTCACATCTTCAATCAGACCTTGTGTATGGAAACGACATGGTTTAAAGAAATTCAGAAGACGAGTCTCTCGAAACTGAATAATCTCATACACATCTAAAACCAACAAGGTTCCTTCACCTAATGAAAAAGTATATACGTTCTTCAGGAAACTACACATATAACGCAAACTGAGAATCCTGAAATGTAAATAACATGCAGCATACACGTACTATAGATTGCTACCTGAAACATTTTCCAGCTGATCTTCATTGCCAATGGATATTCCTGATGAATGATCAAACTGCTCTCTGGCCAGGAAGACTGAGTGGGGTTGCTGGTAGGGTGGACTTAAGCTCGACTCCAATATCTGGTGTGTAAGCACCATCTCTGGTTTAGCATATGCTCCAGCACCCATGATCACTCGTTGCTTCTTCACTGGCCTCTCACCTTTTGGGCTCTCAGCTGGAGAGCTGCCATGGCAACCAGAATCTGGTGTAAGTGGCTCATGATGAGAAGAGAACGATTCATCAACAGAAAGGCTCTTGGCTGGGGCACGTTCCTTGGTAACCTTGTCCAACAGTGGAGACTCAGAAGTTGGGGCAGGGGTTGCTGGGTCAGTCTTATTGTCCGATTCTGGGCAGTTGTCACCTGATGCTGGGGCAGAGACCCCTGAGCCAGGCACTTCTGAGAGAACTCCACTGAGTCGTTGTTGCTCTTCAATTATCTTCTTCAAGTACTTGCCTTGGGCTTCTATGCGCAATTGTAGCTGCCTCTGCACCTGTTGTAATTTAAATTTAAAAATATTTTGGTTAAACATTAGCTCACAAAAAAATAAAAACTGGTATTCTTATGACAACTAAATGTGAAAACAAAGGATAACTATTTCTTATCGTGCCCTAGAGTCACACCGTCAGTTGGACAATTCTAAATAACATATAGGCATGAACTGCTTCCTGTATCCACAGATACCAGCATGAGTATTCATAGTGTAAAAGACACAAAGAAAGTAGGTCAGGTGATATCTGCCTGGTCTCTGCACCATATTTCATGGCCTTCGCTGTGTAGAAACAAAAAACCAGCCCACAAAAAATTAGATTGAAAAAACGTTTTGGCAGAAAACCTCCACCTTTAGATGCAGGAATTTCCTACTAGGGGTGACCTTCCCACTTTAAAATCGTGATTCCATGGTTCAAAGTAAGAATCTTGTTAGAACTGCATTCCACGTAAGATAATATTGCGGTTTCAACTAGAATAGGACCACTCAAACATATGAATCCCAAAGAAATAAATGAAAAGCGACAAAGGCAAACGGAAATATGTAGCGAACATATATTTATCCAAGATTTTGGCTTTCCTCTTGGAATTTTTTTATAGATCTTTCAATTTGGATTTTGTAAGGATTAAAAGATAAATATATATGTTATTAGTGATGAATTGTTACTTTTGTAATAAGAATTTTCTATGCTTATGTTAATAGTGCAAGCGACAATATATTACAACTAAACAACAAAAATATTTCTTAAAATATAAAATACATTAACACTCGCTCCGAACCTTAGCCCACAACCCTTGTTCAATGACATGACTCTTTTTCTTTCTTTCTTTCTTTTTTTTTTTTTTTAAATTTCTGCATTGCTGTCAAAGTTTTGTACCATTGTGGTTTATATGAAAGCAAGCACCAAAGAATTAATTCCCTAAAGACCTCTCAATTCAATCAAAAGCCTAAATTGATTCTTGATGTTTGTGATGAAGAGAAAATTAAGAAGAATCAGGGACAATTCAAGTCTTTATATTAGGTGTCATGGAGTTTGAAGGGAAGTGTTCCACATTTTGAAACCTGTTCCAAAATTCTCCACAATGGTATTGGCATTCTGTACTAAACTTTGGGCTTTGGGTAGGTGGTTAGGCATCTGATATTTCTAATTGATATATACAAGGACAAGGTCAAAGTCACATGGCTCCATCATTTAAGTATCCAAAATTTCATCTTGCATGTTGTACAAATAATGTCTATATCTTTTTTTTTTTTGATCAGCAACAAAAAGATAAATTTTATTAAGGCCCAAGGCCAAAGAGAAGAGGATAAGGCATCCTCCACAATGAAAAAGAAAAAATACATCCAAAAAGACAACCACACCAAAAGACAACCAAAACTACACAACTATACAGCACAAACCGACACCCAATTTGAAGCAATCAAAAAAAGAGGAATCCCTCAGAACACAGGACTTGCCGAGGCCCAAAAAGACGCCAAATAACACATTCTATCCCATAAATAATCTATATCCCTAGATCCTCCTTTAAAAATTTCATCTTGCATGTTGTACAAATAATGTCTATATCATATAGCCATGTTGAGCATGGATACTCCACCTGCTTTGATGCAGGTAAAAAAAAAAGTTTGGTGGGGAATTTGTGGTGAATTTAGCACACCTATCATGAGCTAGCAATCCAGCGGCAGGTGTATAAACAGAAATCTCATATCCATAGTTGTGTCATCCATTATACTTAATGATTGTATGGTTTGTACCTAGTGACTTAGATTCAGAGTTCTTTTCATTTTGTTGTTATGCTCCATGAACTTGGTTGATTCCCAATATAAAATAAAAAGGAAAAAAAAAATGTTAATGATGTCTCCTCAAAAAGGACAGGAAAACATACCTCCAATTGCTCATGCAGCCGCTTCTGTACCTCCATCTGCAACTTCAGTGCTTCAGTAATTTGCATCCCACTGCAAACATATGAGAACGCTTACCTTCTCAAATCAAGTAGCCCATTAGAGAGCTACATAAACAGAACTCAATGTTTCATTATGCAACCTTGTCCATACTATAAGTTCTCAACTATACAATAAATTTTGGGGAGGCTTCCGTGTCGATTTTAATAGGTGAACTTATTGTTCAAAAAGTCCTATGAGAATTAATGTCGTTTTTCATCCAACACTATTAAAAAGTCACTAATTGTTAATTTTTAGCGATAGTTTAAAACTTGTCACAACAAATGTCACTAGTTATAACTTTTAGCAACAGTTTAAAAAAATCGTCACAAAAAAATATTACTAATTTTTAACTTACAGCGACAGCTTGACAAATTCGTCATAAAAAAAGTCACTGATTATAAGTTTTAGCAATAATTTATAAAAATCATGACAAAAAAAAGTCACTAATTGTTAATTTTTAGCGACATATGCAAAAATCATCACAAAAAATTATTTTTAGCTTTATTAGAACTTATTTTCAATAGGATTTTATAGAAATTAAGTCCAACTATTGGGACCTATTGGTAGTTTCCCCTAAATTTTGAGACCATTTGAGAAAAGGGAAGTAGATTAAACTGCTAGATCTTCCAATCTGAAATTTCCATCTCCAAACACATTTTGGCGAAGAGCAAATAATTAGCTTAACACCTCTTGCATGTCTGTGATATTTATTATTATGGGATGCATTCGATCTAGCGTCATAAACTTCTAAAAACATTTATACAAATATGATGAATTTGTCTATTTCTGCAAATGGATAGCACTAAGAAAGGAAGCAAAATTACTTACGATGAACCATCCATACTGGAAAGCATATCTCCAGATTCTTTCTTGTCAACTTTTTGCCCTTGCATTATCAATTAGAGGCAGAGTATCAATATAATGATCCTTTTAGTGGAAGGTTCCATTTTCAGATATCATTATAGAAGAATCAACAATATAAATAAAGCCATCTACTTTGGGCCTCGTTTGGGAAGCTGGCTATTTTAATAGGCTATTTTAGTTTTTGGCTATTTTGGTAGGCTAAAATAATTGTGTTTAGGAAGATGCTTGGATTTTTTTGTAATTGGGTGTGAGGTTTGTGAGAAAAAAAGTGAAATGATTATGGATTTAATGTGACATTTTGTCTTATTGGTTATTTTAGCCTATTTTGTCTTTTTGTGAATTTTATCCCAAAAAGCAAAAAATAGCCTTTGCCAAACAAGGCCTTAATTGTCCAGCAAAGATAACAAGGGTTATAGTTGGCTGTGTTACTTTTGCCTTAAAAAGTATAAGAATATGATGTATTTACCATCAGATGAGGAGTCTGGGAGGTACTTTGCAAGTCGATATTTCTGCATGTCACAAAGCAGAATTAATGGAACTCACTAAGAACAAAAAAATAAAATAAAATTTGGACAGGACAGAACCAAACAATACTTACCTGTAGATGGCTCTTGACATGGTAAATTGTTAGACCTTGCACACCCATGACTCTGAGAACACCTTTGGGTGTAGCCCCTGAAAAAAGAAAGAAAAATAGAACCTTAAGATGTTCCCATGGTTTACGTAGAATACTTTAAACTGTGAAAAGTTGTTTGATTTTTCAATTGAATCACCTATGTTTTCTTCGAGAAATGATCTACCTTCTCAGAAGTTCCAGTTCTTAGATGTTTTACACACAAAAAACTCACCCAGTTGACCTGAAAGCCAAGTCTAGACCTAAAGATCTGTCATATTGAAAAATCACCAGTGTTTAAGAACAAACATGCTATTTTATCTCTATTCATTTAAGCAGCCCTAAAATGTCCATGAACATCCAGCAACGTCTTGCTCACTGACAAGAACTGTTTATTATCATAAGAAAGAAGCTGGAGATAAGGAAATGTCAAGTACATATCCATTTTTCTTACAATTGACTTTATTTATTTATTTATTTATTTATTTTTCCTTTTTTAGGGTGGGAGTGGGAATGAACAACATAGTGGCAATGAAACAAAGTTAGCTAAATTAAGGTCAAGATAACTCACGATCAGGACCACCCAGTTGTGCCACAGCATCAACAAAGCGTTCATGAAGCTCATGTGTCCAACGCAGTCGTTGCTTGGAGGCCAGACTAGGATTGTTAAGACCGTTGCCTCCATTCATGGGGTCCATTGTGCTGGCACCACAATCTAATTGCTGACTATGGACTGCTGCGGAGTTGTTGCAAACTAAACTTGAACTAGAAACGCCCTTTGGTTGATACATTTGTCATTTGTCCACAAAAAGTAAATCGGAGTCACTGCAACCACAAAGAACACATTTAAAGACTTCGTATTTAACTATCATGTGCATTTGGAGAACAAGTTGTTAAATTGATAGACTTTTTGCATCCAGCAACCAATTTTGACACTCGTCGTCCCCATTAGTGGGAACAAGTTGAAGAAGTAATAAACAAGTAGCTTAGCTTCTTCCGTGCATGCCTTCGCAGTAATCAAGTAACCAAAAAATTCATCTTCAACAAAGGATACCGAAAAGAGAATGGGTTTGTTGGAATGAGGGGCTCAAACAGTAAAAGAGTTGGCCTAAGGAACAACCCAACACAACACAACACAAAACAAAACATTTTCAAGAGGGAGGCCTTTCAAGGAGCAGAAGGCGGGTAAGGTAAGGTAAGTAACTAAGATCCTCCAAAGGAGTTGGTAAAAAACAGAAAAGACTCCAACTTGGTCGAAGCAAACAGAGGAGATAATTAATTTAGGGCTTTGGCTTTGGCTTTGGCTTTGGCTTTGGTTGAATAAAAATAATCCAACTTTGATGAGGCATTAAAATTAGGGCAGCAGGGAAGGGAGGAATCAAACAAACAGGTGACATTTAATTGCTCCAAAAACCAAGTAAGTCGGAAGTCATTTCTTCTTCCACAACAACACAACACAACACCACACCCCCGCGTTGACCAAGGACAAGGCGAAGCCAAGCAGATGAACAGCATATAATTTGTATATTTCGGACTTGCACGAGTGACTGACTGATAGCATAGACAACACAGTGATATATATATATATATATATAGTCAGTAAAAGAAGAAGAAGAAGAAGAAGAAGAAGAAAAAGAAAGAACATAGATACCCAGATCTGGAAAATCGAGGAGATCGTTGGTTGATATCGGCGGGGGTTGGTTTTAGAAATAACAATTGAATTTGAACCCATACACAAACTGGTTGGTTAGAGAGTCCTTCCGTTTGCCTTCCCTTTTTGCTTTGCCTGCAAAGTTCAAATAAATTTGTTCGCTTTCGCTTTTGGTTTTGGTTTTGGTTTTGGTTTTAGGAGCTGGATGGATGTAATGTAAAGATCGCTCTAAGAAAATGCCCTCACGCCCAGAAACAAAGCGTATTATTTTTGATTTAGTTTAATTATTCGGTCCATGTTGCTGTTGGTTGGTCTTTGGCACTTTGCGATGTGTGGATGGATACCTGATTGCGTTTTCTTTCTCCTCCTTTCCTTCTCTCTCTCTCTCTCTCTCTCTCTCTCAAAGTTTAATGGCATTGACCAGCACAATTTTGCAAATTTTGTTTTAACTTTTGTCATTTGGTGGGTTTCATACTTTCATTAATTAAGTAATTATCTTTAATTCATTGGCTCGACGGTGAATTAGTTGAATGAGTTTCATATTCTAATTAAAAATTTAGTTTTATTATCTTCTTGTTTTAGTAATTTAAATTTTTCTGTAAATTACACTGCCACTCCTCAATTTTTGTTTAGTACACATCTCTTACTATATTTAAAAAATTATACTTATCCCTTGATTGGGAAATTTGGAGAACAGTTTAGAATTATAAAGGAAAAATGTGTGTAGAATTAAATGAAATATACGTATATTTTATTTACATTTTATCTATATTTTTTATTTTTCTTTCCAAATCCCTCAACCAAACACAGCATTAGTTTTTATAGATAAAAAATAATACAGATATTTTGTTCATATCATTTGAAAGAAAATAACAATCATTTTCTTTGGTTTAACTCACACAAAAAATTAAGGTAGCGTTTGGTTTAATTTTTAAAACTCAATTCTGTTTTGAAATCATGATTTGAATCAAAATTTATAACCAAACAAATTTTAAAAATATAATTCAAAATTACTTTCAAAACACATTTTTTCCTTTTTTTATTATTATTATTAATCAATCAATCATTCACTTTTTCTCTCTCATCTATCTTCTCTCCTCTCACATTCTCTCACATTCTATACATCAATCAATCCAAAAAAAAAAAAGTATAAATCATCCCAAAACTCTTTTCATAACTCATAATCAAACAAATTTTCTATTTTAGAAAATATTTGTTAGTGTCGAAGTTACTCTTATTAAAAGAAGCTGTGTTGTAGTGATTTTTCTCTCTCTAGAAATGCCCGTTACTGAAGCTCCCCGATCTGAAGAACGAAGAGCGGATGGCTACTCTACAGAGGAGTTCGATCTCCTAAACCGCAGCAAGAAGAAGATCAAAAGCAGAAGAGTAGCCAGATGATGATACCATGGCTGAGAACCAAGCGGTAGAGAAGGAAGCAGGGGATGGGCATACCCTCACTCACTGCGAAGATCAGTCGAAGGGGGAGACACCCAACTCACTGGGAGTAGAATCTAACACAGACCAGATGGAAATCTTGGAGGTAAGCAAAGATTCTGCAAGATCCTTCAAGCAAGCTCTCCTCCGTTCGAGATTCAACGAAAATCGTAATGAGAAAAATTTCGATTGCGATGTTGAGAAGCTCTCTTCAGACGACGAGGATGCAAATACTGGTCCGAGGGTTGAGCAAGAGGATGAGGTCATGGAAGAGCCCAGAGATGGGATACCCAAAGTAAAGATACCACTTGGCCTCTTAAAGAAAGTCCGTGAGCCATGGAAAAAATGTTTAATAGTGAGATTATTAGGGAAAACCATAGGGTATAAGCTGTTCATACCCAAGATGACAAAGATTTGGGGCTTGCAAGCTGATTTTGGAGCCCTAGATATTGGCAGCGGATTTTTCATTGTTAAGTTTGACATAGCAGATGACTACGCCAAAGTTTACACGGGAGGTCCATGGATAGTGATGGATCACTATGTAACAGTAAGGAAATGGCAGCAAGATTTCAAATCGGACGAAGCGGAAGAAGATACTACGGCGATATGGGTGCGATTTCCTAATCTCCCCATTGAGTACTACAACGAGAAAATTCTCTACCACATCGCAAAAGTTATTGGAGTTCCACTCAAGATTGACATCAATACAGCCATGGCTGCAATCGGCAAATATGCACGAGTTTGCATAGAGATGGACCTCATAAAGCCTCTAATTTCTCGTTTTTCTATAGGTAAATACACTTATGGAGTTGAATATGAACATGTACACTCACTATGCTTTTCTTGTGGCAGGATTGGTCACCGGAGAGAAGCATGCAGTGATAAGCCTATTCCGACAACGAAACCTGAAGGCCAGTCAATGAATGGAGCTGGAGACCAGCGCAATGAAAGCCAAGTCAGTTCTGAGACAAACCCAAGTGGGCCAGAACACAAAAATGAGCTAAGCCCAGGGATGGATGGACCTTGGATGTCTGTTCCTAGTCAAAGAAGGAAATTGCGAGGCCCAAATGTTCAAAGAGGTGTGACTAACCAACAGACTAATAGATTTGAGATCTTACGGGACGAAGGGGAGGACAAAGGCCCCCCAACCCACTCAAGCCGTGATAAAGGGAAAGAAAAAGCCCAAGTACATAGGAGCTTTAGGTATAAGGCTAGAGCAATAGGTAAAAAGACTGAGTCTACCAGCTTTGGCATGACTAATGACAAGAAAAGAGAGAAAGCCAGACTGGGGAATAAAGGTGGTACTAACATGAAGATACGAGATCAAGAAGTAGCTATGGGGGAGAGTGAGACATCAAATCCCCTGAGAAGCAAGCTCTATACATCTCTCACCTCACACCAGCCACCCTCACATTCCTTTAACCCCTCTCACCTCTCTACAAATTCAGAGTTCCACCAGATAAACATGGAGGAGGAAAGAGAGAATTACCCCACGAAGACGCATTTGCTGAAACATAACAGAGTAATGGTGTGTCTAACACCAGGGAAAGAAGTGTGTCACCTCATCACCTTAGAATGGTGGAATGAGGAAATAAAGTTGAGGCTTCATCTATGGAGGCAAGTGGAGGCCAACCAGGATATGCACTACCTCTCAATGACACCACTGAAGTCGATGGAAGATAACCTTCAAACCATAAGAGGCTACCTGGCACTTGATAGCCAAGGCCCTCTACCCCAACTAGACTTATCATCTATGGATTTGTTAATCTGGAATTGCAGAGGTGCAGGGAACAACAAGTTTAAAAGGAATATGAGAGACCTAGTTCTAATCCATAAACCAAATTTGGTTGTCCTTATGGAAACTAAAGTTGAGTTCAAGGCTATGGGTTTGTTTTTCAATGGTATGGGTTTTACAGCTTCAGCTCATGTAGATCCAATAGGTCGTAGTGGGGGTATTGGATGGTATGGAACCCAAACTTAGTTAATGTTAGAGTGGTGGAAGCCAGCTCCTAGCAGATCACGACAACAATCTCTAGGCAGGACTACACTGACTGGATTCTTTCAGCTGTGTATGCAAGTCCAAACAGTAACATGCGTACTGATCTTTGGGATCAATTGGAGGATATGGCTCAAAATATGTCTGAACCCTGGTTAGTTGCTGGTGACTTCAATGACTTCACCACACCTAATGAAAAACGTAGCCTCCAAGGCCACCAACACCAGAACCTGAACCAAGACCTGAGAAGGAGTAGGAAATTCAACGAAAGGGTAGATAACTGCAATCTTATGGATTTGGGGTGCTCAAGACCACGGATGACTTGGTCTAACAACAGGAAAGGTTGGGCAAATACTATGGTAAGGTTGGATAGAGCCTTGTGCAATATAGAGTGGAGAACCAGCTTCCCAGATGGAGCAGTTCGCAACCTTCCTTGTACTTACTCAGACCACTCCCCTATGATGGTGTTGACTCAAGGTAAGTCTCCCTTTAACCCCACTTGTAAACCTTTTAAATTCATGGCTGCTTGGATTACTCATGAGGATTTTTAAAATGTTGTTGAAAATAGTTGGAACCAGAACCATGTCTCCCTAACTTGTAAGCTTTAGAAACTAGCTCAAGTAGCTAGTAGCTGGAATAAAGAGGTCTTTGGTAATATCTTTAGAAGGAAGAGATGGTTACTTGGGAGGATTGAAGGCATCCAAAAATCCCAGGCTTTAAACTATTCTCATAATCTCCATAATCTTGAATTGGATCTGGTTGAACAATATAACAAAGTGATGTATCAGGAAGAGCTTCTGTGGTTCCAAAAATGTAGATCTAACTGGATTACCCAAGGTGAGAGGAATACTAAATTCTTCCACCTTACCACTATTACCAAAAGGAAAAAGAGAAAGATTGAGATGCTCATGACTGATACTGGGGATTGGATTGATCAGCCTGACCAACTTAAGAACTTGATTACCAATTATTTTGTTAATCTTTTTAGCTATTCTCCTACTACTTCTTTTGATCACTGGAATAAATTGGCGCTTTGCAAGGTGACCCAAGAGAAAAACTTTATTCTTACTCAAAGTATTTCTAATAAGGAGGTTTGGAGGCCTGTGAAGAATATTAATGCTTTTAAGGCCCCTGGGAGGGATGGGTTTTAAGCTGTTTTTAATCATTCGTACTAGTCCATTATTGGTCCCTCTGTGTGTGACTTTGTGAGAGACTGTTTTGCTGGCCACCATATCCCAACTGAGATTAACAGAACTCTTGTTGCTTTGATCCCCAAAATTGACAATCTCGAGAATATTAAACAATTTAGACCAATCAGTCTTTGCAATGTGTCCTACAAAATTATTTCTAAAATCATTGTGAACAGGATTAGACCCCTTTTGAACAATATTGTGAGACCTAATCAATGCAGCTTTATCCCTGGCAGAAGCACTAGTGACAATATTATCATTTCCCAAGAAATCATCCATACTTTGACTCACAAGAAGGATAAGAAAGAGGGTATGATTTTTAAAATTGATCTGGAAAAAGCTTATGATAACATTTCCTGGGATTTCCTCAAACAGACCCTTCATGAATTTGAATTTGATAATAATCTTATTGACCTCATCATGTGTTGCGTTACTAGTGTTAGCACTGCTATTATTTGGGATGGTGAGCCTCTCCAAGAGTTTCAACCTCAAAGAGGGTTGAGACAAGGGGATCCCCTCTCTCCTTATCTCTTTGTGCTATGTATGGAGAGGCTTTCAAATATGATTAGCTTCCAAGCTGAGAATAGGTGTTGGAAAGGGGTTGAGGCAGCTAGAGGTGGGCCTATTATCACCCACTTATTCTTTACTGATGATCTCATGCTATTTGGTCAGGCCACTATGTCCAACTGTAACACTGTAATGCAGGTTATGGATGAATTTTGTGACATACCTGGGCTGAAAATTAATTCCCACAAGTCTAAGATGTATGTTTCTCCTAACATTGATAGGAGGAAAGCCAGAGACATAAGTAACAACTGTGGTATTCCTCTTACTTCTGAATTGGGGAAATACTTAGGTATTCCCTTAATTCATGGGAGGGTTGGTGTGAGACATTTTAATGATATCCTTAACAAGATGCATAAAAGATTGGCAGGTAGAGCCACACTGATCCTATCAATGAGCTCTGATATCCCTTCCTACACTATGCAAACTATGTTGGTGCCAAAAAAAGTGAGCAATGACATTGACAAGATGAATCGAAATTTCATTTGGGGTGACACCCTGGAAAGGAAAAAAGTTCACCTAGTTAATTGGGATGTAGTGTGCAAAATGAAGAAGTATGAGGGTCTTGGGTTAAAAAAAGCCAGAGAACATAATCTGGCCTTGCTCTCTAAGTTGGGCTGGAATATGATTAACAGGCATGAAGGCATGTGGTGTAAGGTTTTAAGGAATAAATACCTTAAAAATACTTCTCTGCAGGATTGGCCTAAAGGGAGGAAAGGCTCTCATCTTTGGAAAGGAATCATAAGTACTAGTACCATTCTCAGAAAAGGTATAAAATGGTCTGTGGGTGATGGTAAGACTGTTGATGTTTGGAAAGATTGGTGGTATGGTGACAAATCCTTTGCAGACTCTGTTTCCAGCCCTAACCTTAGCAATTCCACTGTTGATCAAAGGTGTGTTAAGGTTAGAAATTTAATGGGAGATGATGGACATTGGAATGAACATTGTGTTGCTAGCATCTTCCCATCTTCGATTGCTCTCTAATCCTGAATAATGATCCTCCTGGAAATTCCATCATGGATTCTCCTAGGTGGAAAAGTGCACCTGATGGGGTGTTTTCTGTTTCTTCTGCTTATACCCTCATACAAGGAAATCCTGAGCTGGGTGCAAATTGGACCTGGTTGTGGAAGCTTAGGCTCCCACAAAAACTTAAGGCTTTCCTTTGGACCATCCTCCATGGGAAGCTGCTTACTAATCACATGAGAATGAAGAGGGGCTTTACTAATGATCCTACATGCCCTTTTTGTAGTAAGGATGGGGACATTACCCATCTGTTTAGAGATTTTTATAAAGCTAAGGAAGTGTGGTTTGCTACCTTTGGCAGAATTTGGTGTTTGGATATGTTGAGAAAACCTTGGATGGATTGGCTCAAGAGTAATGCTAGAAACAAAAATCATTTTAGTAAAGACCTCTCTTGGTACTTAGTGTTTACTATGGCCTTATGGAAAATTTGGAAAAATAGAAATTCTTTTGTGTTTGATGGCATAAGCACCACCTACCAAGAAAGTGTCAAATTCATTTTTTCTTACTCTACAGATATCCACCAAGCTTTCTCAATTTAATCATTAATCCTAAACCAGCTTATAGACTTATCCATTGGTGCTTACCTCCTGCAGGTAGGATCAAGTTGAACACGGATGGGTGCAGGAAAGCTGGAGGAGAAGGCGGCTTTGGAGGACTTCTTCGTGATGAAAGAGGAGCGTGGGTCTGTGGCTATTATGGCAGGATGTAAATGGCAACGAGTCTCGAAGCAGAACTGTGGGCAGTATATAAAGGCCTCGCTGTTATCTTGCAAAAGGGCTTATACAATGTTCTGATAGAGACGGACGCAGCCCAAGTGGTGAAGTTAATGGAGGAAGAAACTGCAAATAATTGTCCCTTCAAAAGTTTGGTGGATGATGCAAAAATTTTATTAAGAGGTTATGAATGCACAATTCAACACATTTGGAAATAAGGGAATTTATGCCAAACTCAGAGCAGCACAACCTGAAGTTATATTGGTGGTGAATGACCCGCCGGCTGAAATTCAAGGCTTGCTCGTGCGGAACATGATTGGCCTTTCTTGTGAACGGGCTTAGCCCTTGTTTGTCTCTTTTTCCTTCTGATGTAACCAAAAAAAAAAAAAAAAAAAAAATTTATTTTCAAATCATGATACAAAAACTCAATACTCAAAATACAACTCTACACTCAAATCATAATTCTAAAACTAAACTAAATGGAAGTTTTTTTTTCATATTTTTTTATTTTTACTGATTTTTTTTTAATATTTTAAACAATTTTTTATTTTTGTAAATATATTTAAGAAGTATAATCTAGATATATTTAAGAAGTATAATATTTTGTGATTTTTTTTAAATTAAAAAAAATAATACATTATCTTATTTTGTTGTATTCAATGGATTTTTTTTAAAAAAAAAAATTGTATAAATTTTATACTTTTTAAATATATTTAGATTAAATTGATTTAATCTAGATATAATAGTGGAAATGAAAATGAAAAATTCTATTTATATATAAAAATTTATACAAAAAATATAATAAAGATGCTGTGAGAGTGATACTATTATAAATGTAAATCATATTTATGAGTGTTTTATTTTAAAGTGAAGGTTGATTAAACTATATCACTTTGTTTGAAAATTCTATATAAATTTATGTTTGTATATCATCACTCAATAAGAATGTATACATGTAGAATTTAATGATGAAAAGTTATACAATATAATCATGATGATAGGAAGAAGAAATGGTAGAAAAAAAGACAAGATGATAATTTAAAAAAAATTTAGGGCACGACATCAGCAATCCAAAGAGTAATTTATAATGAGATTACAAACCCCAAGAAGAAGAATGTAATTTTTTAAATGTGAGGTTTTTGTTTCACATTTAAAAAAATTATATTATTTTCCTAGAGGTTTGTAATCTCATTCCAAATTGTCCCTTGGATTGCTAATGTCATGCCTTAAAATTTTCTAAATAACTATCTTGCCCTTTTTCTTACCATTTATTCTTTCTATCATCATAACTACTAGGGGCGTGTGCAATGCAGTTCAGGCGGTTTAAAAGTAAAATTATAAATCCAATGGCGGATTAGCAGATTAGTAAATTGACAAATTGCGATTTGAGAGATTTTGGACTGATTGGCGGATTGAAGAATATTCTAACCAATTCTCAAGCCTTTGCATAATATATAACACTAATTTGCATAAGATTTTTCATATATATAATACAAACTAATTTTACATAATATTTTTCAAATATATAACTACTAATTTGTAATAAATTTTACATATTAAATCTCTTTCATACCCATTTTTACTTTGATAGTTCATTATAGGTTAAAAAATATATATGTATTAACTATAGCGAAACGGAGTGGTTTCGAAAACGAATTAATGGATAGAGCGGTACGATTTGATACGGATAGGTGTAGTTTTAGAGGATTAGACGGTATTTTGCACAGCTCTAACGACTACATTCTAAAACTTTCCATTATTAAACATATTTTTATTGAATGATGATATACCAACATAAATTTTATATAAAATTTTCAAACACAATGATATAACTCAATAGCCACCTTTTACTTTAAAATAAAAACACATATAAACATTATTTATATTTACAATAATATCAATATCACAGCATTCTTGTGATACTTTTTGTACAGATTTTTATATATGAATATAATTTTTCATTTTTATTTCCACCATTATAATCTAGATTAATAGAACTTCGATATATTTAAAAAGTATAAAATTTGTACAAAAAATTTTCAAAAAATCCATTGAATACAACAAAATAAGATAATGTAATAAATTTTTGCATTTTTATATTTTTTTTGTATTTGATGAATTAAAAAAAAATCACAAAATATTATACTTTTTAATAAGTATATATAGATTAAATGTATCTAAAGAATAAAATAAATAAATAAATAAAACTCAATTCTTTTGTGTGAGTTAAACCAAAGAAAATGATTGTTATTTTCTTTGAAATGACATTAATAAAATATCTACATTATTTTATTATTTTATATGTATAAAGATTAAAGGGTAAAATGTCATTTTAATCTGACAAGGGAATAACTGTAATTTTTCAAATGTGAAGGGATTTTGTATTAAATAGAAATCTTAGGGGATGTCAGTGAAATTTACCCAAAAAGAAAATAAAAAAAAGTCTTTACCATTAAAATGTCACCAGTTATAATTTACAGCTTGGGAGAATTTAATTTTAACACAATTTCTTCCATTTGTAGAACAGACCAGATCTACACTTCTCTATTGAGGTTATAATGGAAGGATAGTAAACACACTCTGATAATAACAAAGTGACCATCAATGACAAATTTTTTTACATGCCATACCCAGTGATTCCATGTGAATTAACTTGAATCACCTTAACATCCTGCGCTCTCATGTCTGAGTCAGCCCAGATCAAAGATGCAGCCGTTGAGTCAATGTTTAGCATCCGTTTCTTCCCTCCAGGTGGAGATCCTTTCAAAGGCAATCCCGCAGGACTCTCATGTGAGGTCAGGCAGCTTTCAGTGGAACAATCAGCCCTATGAGGATGGATTCCAGGTGGCACCTGTAAAGAGTGTAAGCCCAGAGGACCATGGGAGGAACTTGCTGCCGGTGCCTCTGTTCCTAATTCTTGATAATTCTGTTTGTCTTCCTCAGTATTTGCGTCTCCAATAATTTGATTGGCAAGCATCTTGCACGCTCTCTCCAGCATGGCCATATATCTTCGTTCTGCGTCCTGGCGTATCTGCAAATGCTTCTCAGCCTGAACAATCAATTTGATAAAGAATGAGCCAACTTGGAACAAAGACCCAGACCAAGCCCACTAAATTTCTAATGGAAAGGTCGGTTGTGCAATTTAACAATAAATCAGTTGTCACAGTAAACTAAGTTTAAGTTTTAAAACAGTTTTAAAACTAGGCAAGCCATTTACTAGTACTCTTCTAGTTAAAGGAAATTAAAGCTCACCATACCATTTAATGACACCGGCTCTACTATCTATTATTTTGAGGAGCAGTATAAACAAATCCACTTCTCCACAGTTGAAGGGAACTTACTTCAACTTGCAGATGTAGTTTACTTTGTATTTCCATTTGAGCTCTCAATGCCTCCTTGACTTCATAACCCCTAAACATGGCATCGGTCCCTCAGACATTCTAGAAATTTCAAGCGTTGCAATAAAGCTAACACCTACGCAGCAATTAAGGTACTCTTGAGGAAAAGAGTTAAGCATTTGAAGGAAACACGAGAAGTCTGTCTTACTCATTCATATCAGTAGTTGGCAAGCTTGGAGAAGAATTACTGGCATGAGGACTTTCTAGAGGGTAAGAAGCTGAGATTCCTTCCATTCATTGGCAAAATGAATTAATTTGAAGGCTAATAAACATGTACCCAGTATGTATTAAAACTATACCTACCATCTTTAGGAGCCTCACCCAAATCTTTCCCAGATTGCTTACCTAGTCTGTATTTCTGTGACATAGCAAGAAACATCACAGCCAAAACAACTTGATAAGATTATCATCTTCATTCCAAGCTACATTGGTTTATTGAGTGGAATCAGAAACTACATAGTTAATAATGGAAAAAACCTGGAGGTGACTCTTCAAGTGGAAAAGGGTCAGTCCCTTCACACCCATTGTCCTCAAAATTGCCTTAGGTGTAGCTTCTGCAAGTTTTATTCATTTCATATAAGCATCAACATACTGAAACAATAATCATGCAAGTGCTTCTTAAAGAAAATCCAAGTTCGAAACAGTCATCAGCAAGAACAGAAATAATTTTTATAAATCTATCAAGCACAGAGCAACTCATGGACAACTCGGTCACATTGTAACTAAGCTCTTTCAATTTCAACCTGTTCAGCTGCCTAAAAAGAATGAACCCATTCCTGAGTTTCAGCATTGTCTACTTAATACAAATGAAACGGTAATTCTCAATACAGAACATACTGATCTCTGAGATCAGTTGTAAATGTTGGATTATGCTCACAAAAAAGCATGGTTTGGCAAATTAACAGGTTTGAGGTTAGGAACCCGAAGAAGCCAAGCTGGAAGAGGGATATATTCAAGACTGGATGAAGGTCAAACAACATCCATGTGGACCATGTCTGGCCACCTAAACTTCAACAGCCTAATACTTGTCTGAGCACACATCAATACATTATCAATGAATCGAACTGCTAATTGGATGCAACAGCTCTTGACTTTCAAGAAATATAAGTCCCACAAAAGATCATAGAACGTTGTAAGAATAAAAAGTATTAAATCAGGAACCCCAAGGGGTTGGCCTGGTGGCAAGACCTTTGGGTCTTGGGGGTGTACTTCCTCCAAAGTTTAGGGATCGAAATCTCTTAGGTTTTAACAATTCCTTGGGGCCATCGGACTAGGGAAAAACCCTTGAATTAACCGAGGTGCACTTGTGGAAAATTCCTTGCCGAGGGCCTGTGCACCCCTAGGGATTAGTCGGGCTTTGATTTGGACACTCCAATGCCAATCAAAAAAAAAAAAAAGTACTAAATCAGGTGGAACCATGTGCGTTGGATTATTTTAGCTCACACATATTTCAATACGGTAGATAGCCGCGGATGCAGGAAGCACACCTAAGGGTGGCCAAATTATATTCATTAAAAATTGACAACAAAGTTCTAATTATTCTATTATTGGCAAAAACATCATGCCTAAGTTATATTAATAATACACGTCTACAATCATAAAAAACTAAAAAAATCCATTCAGTAAGTTAAGAAGATAGACATGTACAAAACAAAAAAGTAAATTTTCCACATTGTATAAAATAACAAGGATAAAAAGAAAAATACATATGAACTTTTTCTCACTTATCAACAACAAAAAAGGTAAATTTCTCCATATAATGGTTTGTGTCGTGTTAACATATAATGCCAAAAACATTCTGCCCTAGTCAAAAATACCAAGTATATGGAGATATTAAAGCCTTTTTTTTTTTTCACAGATTAAATTTCATAAAATTAATCTCTACTAGATGGAAATTATTCATAAAAATATTTAATTTCAACTCACATTTCTCCAATTTAAAAAACTAAACCTTATTTTTATCTATTTAATTTATCAGATAGACTCTAAATTGTAAACAAAAAGATCAGATTATGAACAAAAAGATTATGTTGACCTTAAAATTCTATTTTACATATTTTTTATTTGACTCAACGGGATTACATAAGCTATTTAAACAAAACATGGCATGTTTTCATGAAAATAACATTAAAATATGTAACTAATTCATCTTTAAATGGGTTATTCGTGTCAACTTTGTGTTATGTGAGTTCGACACTGACTTGACTAGTTTATTTTCCATGTTATTGTGTCATGTCATAATCGGATTCATGTCAATAAATGATCAATCCTAATAACATGCTAACTTTGTGTACAATTACTGTTGTATTAATGTGTCGTGTTGGAAATTGCCACTAATTACTTCCCTCGTTGTTAATAATTTAGTGTATATAAATCTTACAAATACAATATAGATGTCCCTTTGAAGAAACCACTATACTTCTGGTTTTCTAAACATTGGCTGGGGGCTGTTGCTTTACTATTTACAGTCTCAGTATCAAAACAGGAGCATTACATGGAGGAAACCAAAAGCTTATCAGGGGCCACCGCCCCCCGTATCCCCCCTTTTGTCTGCCACTGAAGATAGAATACAGATGCATACGCATGGACAAATACATATACAGGGATTCCCCCATGAACCTATCCTCAACGATATAATTGAACTAAAAGCAAGTATAATTGAACTAAACTTCAACAGACTAATAATTGTCTCAGCACCATTTGTAAGTGGATCGCAATTCAATACATTATATCAACGAATTGAAGTGTTAACTGGACATGACAGCTTTTGACTCAGACTTTGAAATTTGACAAGCATGGCAAGCATAGCAGGAACTTGAAATCCAATAGTTGGTTTCAAGAAATGTGGAATGTTGTAAGAATAAGAAGTATTAAATCAGGTGTGTTGGTTGATTTTAGATCACATATAGTTCACTAAGGTAGAATACAGATATATAAGCATGGACATATGCATCTACAGGGATTCCCCCAAAAAACACATCCTCAACACTATAATTGAACTCAAAGCAAAGATACACAGTAATAAATTTCTCTGGAGATGCATACGAACACTTAACAGGGGATATGAAGAGGAGGACGAGGAGGTGGAAGTGGTGAGTATTTTTCATGAACAAATGAAGCAAGAACATGTTAATTTGGAAGTGACTCAATAAGAATTATGGCCATAGCTTAAACAAAATGGTGACATGGTTCAAGCAACCCAGCAGGCCCAAAAAGTCAGGGTAAAGCTTTGTGGAGTTGTGTGCTTGTCATTAAAAACCAATCAGACACCACCAGCCAGAAATCTTAGCCACAGTTCAGATATCATCCCAGGTAAGATAGTGGTGGTAAAGTCACCAAGTTAAACTGGAATAACAACCTAAACAGAGAAATGAGAACAGCGTGACAGATATTCAATTGCTCTGCACTCCTAGCTTCTTCTTTTTCTTGTTGTGCAACTTAAATATGTTATCAAGCAATTATATGATGAAACATGAAGGAAGATAAGTGTGAAATAAAAAAATTTCAAATAAAGGAAGATATCATAAAAAGGGAAGGAGAATAGTGAAAAGGAAAAATGAAATAAAGAGCAGAATGAAAAGGAAGTTGAAATAAAAAGTAGAAATATATTGAAGGATGCCGAAATTCAATGAAGAGAATAGAAGGACAAGCAAGGGTGCAAAATGACTCAAGGATGGTATTATTCTTTTTGGCTAAGACATGTTCCTCTCAATTACTCATTCTATGAGAGCCTTAGTGGCATAGAGGCTGAGCAGGAGCGGGGTCAGGGAAGGACAACATCTAGAGCTAGAAGAGTTTATGTTTGGGAGTATCAAGGAAAATTTTATGTATTATTTCATATAGTAAATATTATTATTTTTTGCTTAGTTGGAATTTAAAAGAGAAATTGTCTATTGTACATAACCACAGTACCACATAAAACTATTAAACAAAATTATAGTAAATTTTTATTACAAAAGTAACAATTCATCACCACATCGCACAACTTCGGCATATAGCTTAGCTCGTTCATCTTTAGCACTCGAGTGCTCGATTAGTGAGCTATTACGCACTCTTTCAAGGGTGGCTGCTTCTAGGCAAAACTCCTTGCTATCTCAGCACCCCTACCTCCTTTATCACTAAACAGTCATTTAAGGGCCTTAGCTAGTGATTTGGGTTATTTCCCTCACAACGATGAAGCTTATCTCCCATCGTCTTACTGGTTGACCTTGACCCTTGTTATTTTGAGATCATGTCTAATATTCAGAGTTTGCCTTGAAACAATACTTCACCCTCCAGATGTTCAGTCAACTACTGCACCTCAATGCATTTTGGGGAGATCTAGCTAACTCTGGTTTGAGTGGCATTTCATCCTTAACCACAACTCATCTATTGATTCTTCAACATCAGTTGGTTTGGACCTCCACTTAGTTTCACCCAAACTTCATCATCGTCATGGATAGATCACCCAGGCTCGGGTCCATAAGCAGTTACAACATAGTTGTTCTCACTACGACTCCTATCGGTTTGCTTAACCAAGTCACTTAACATATATCTGATTTTTTATTCATCAATCTTCACAGAACCCAAATTGAAACAATAAAAATATCCATATTTTAATTCCTGAGAGAAAAGTCAGAAACTAAGATAAACATTTATTCTCTGCATATTATATTTTTCCTTTGTAACTTTTCGTTTGTTTCTTTGGGATACAAATGTTTGAGAGCAGTTTCATCAAAGTTGGAATTGTGATCCTATCTTAATAGAAACATGGGTATAACTCAATTCTTGCTTTGAACTGCAGAATTGCGATTCTAGGGCTGAAAGGTCGCCATCAATGGGTGGTCCCAGCAACTAACATGAGGCCATAAAACTCTGTAGTGCATGCAGTAACATCTTTCATCAACCTCTCCAATCTCTATACAAGGTGTCCTTCCCTCTAATATGTAAAACACAGTACGTGTGCAGTTATGTCAAAAGTTGTTACGCCTTTAGCAACAACCCTTGTCTGAAGTAATACTTTTTCCTCCCATTGTCTTGCCATAGTACCATAGTTAGCAAAACCCAAGTGCGTGCAACTTCTTTTTACTTTTCAGGAATAGTTTCCTTTTTGCTATACTTACCAACTGCATATCTTTATTTTTTTGCGTGCATATATATATATATATACACACTCTGAGCTCCTCTTTTGGACTTTTGATTATCTAGACTTGCTTAAGTTATGCCCTATGTACCCCTTCCTAAGTTCCTACTTCTATCAATGATATGGCAAGGAGGAGGAGTGCCACGTCTATTTAAACGCCTAGCCAATATTTGTCCATTCCAATGCACATTACTGCAACAACTGTTAGAAAGATACATAACCTCACATGCAAACACAGTGTAACTTATTTTTCTACTTTCTGATTAGCTGATTCATGTTTCTTTTCATTATAGCTTAGCTTCCAGTTCTGTTGCCTTAGTCTGGGATACAATTAGGATCATGTGATGCTTTATCTAGGGAATCCTTATTTACTTGTGATTGCAATTGCAACTCATACAAGGGAATGAAAAGCAAACAGAAAAATAATTTCAGCTTCAAAGATTCTTACCCAAATTACATGGAAGCGTGCCATTGTCAACAGGATACCGTGACTTGTATTGCAACTGAGATTATTGTTCTCCCCATTGTTGGTATTCAAATCATAAGGTACTGACTGACCCATGCTAATTTTAAAGATAAAAATAAAAATAAAAATAAAAATACTTGAGATGTATGAAATTCTCAGTGCAAACCGCCAATGATTATCTACTGAACAAAAATGGCAGCACTAAAAGGCAAGCAACATAACATTAGTAATGATGCTCGGATCTAATGGTTAAATTACCAAACAACGAAAGGAAAATCCCATTCACAAAACGATTGATCTGAGAGATTTATGGAAAACAATCACTAAATATGTCAAGTAAAGTAGAGGCGAATTATAAATTTTTTTTGATAAATAAAAATAAATAAATGAAACTCCTTTTTCCCCTTTTGGGGTGGTAAAAGAAAAGAAAGAAGAAAGAAAAAGAAAAATAGTAAAGGGCGGAGCAGAAGAAAACGGGAAGGGAATACTAACTAGTGGGGCCTCCAAGCTGAGTGACGGCATCAACAAATCGGTCGTGAAGGTCGGCAGTCCATCGGAGACGAGGTTTAGGATCGGAAGTGAGGACGAGGCATGGGTCTCCCTTGTGGTGAATATTAATATTAATATTAATATCCTCCTCCTCCTCCTCCTCCTCCTGCTGCTGCTGCTGCTGCGAAGACACGATCACTTCGTGGTGGGTCTGAATCAACCTGGGAAACATCTATCTACGCCTATCCTCTCAAAAAACCACAACCACCACCCACCCTCCCAACTCCCGATATTGTGAATGAGAAAAAGATAATCAAGGAAAACACACACACACAGCGCTATTCACTCCAAAAAGCAGCAACCAACCAACCAACCAGCCAGCAAAATACCACACCAAACATAATACTCCTACTTACAATGTCATTTTTACCCCCATCCATCTCTCTTTCCCCTCCTCTTTCATAGCGTAAGAAAGGAATCCATAAAATATGTAATTCGATTCGGTTCGGTTCGGTTCGGTTCAGTAGGTTTGGATTAATTTTTTAAATTCGTTGTTCAATTTTGGATTGAAAAATTAAAAGTTCGTAGTCCACGAATTAGTTCCGAATTGAACCCTATAGTTCTGGATTAGAACCGATCCGGACCGTATACAAAATAGCCTATATTTATATTATACAATAATATCTTCTCTTATTCCATATAAAACCTAAACCCGCATAGTATCTTTTGTTTGTTAGTTTTTGATTTTAATTTATAATGGTCTAAATACTTATGGTGGAACTAATTTTCTTATAATTGTTTAAACTCTAGAATAGTATGTTGATATTGTGGAACTAATATGATACTATGTTTATATTTTTATGATATTAAAATGTTATATATTTTTTTATTATTTAATTATGTGAATCCGTAGTCCTAAACCGATCCAATCTGTATTTAAATAGATTGATTTAGATTGGTTCCATGATTTAAATGGATTGGATTAGTTTCAATTTTTCAGGAACTGTAGATAATGGATTGGTCCTGATTTTACCCTAATCCGAACCAATCCAAACCATGCTCCCCCTTACTCTTTCAACAACTCCTTTTCCAAAAACAAAACATAAATAAATATATATTTTTTAACTAGGTAAAAAAACAAGTTAAGAGGGTGTTTGAAAAGATCTAAATAAATATATTTTTTTAAGTTTTTACAAAAAATATATAAAAAATAAAGAGATGCTGTAATTTAAAAAAAAAAAAACACACACACACTTTTGTATGGACGCCAAATAGTGCTTGAGTGATTCAAGAATGTGAATTTGTTTTATTTATTTATTTTTTTTTACATTTTCATGAACAATCTTAATATTATAAAATTAAGAAACATACAAACATAAGATCATTTTCATCAAATCTCTTTAACTTTTAATAAAAAATTAAACTTATAAAATAAGAGATTGTCAAAATTTATCACCAAACTTAAAAAATTTTTTATCATCAAATCACTCTATTCAAATAGATCGTTAAACCAATTTGTTCAAATGTCAGGTATATATACCTCTATCTATTCTATTCTATTCTATTCTATTATATAAAATAAACGACTCCGTTACGTAGCTCGAAAGGTGATGGCTCGAGAGTGGCTCGAATTGATAAATGTGCTACTCTGCGCGGGATACACCCACAATTGTTTTGATTTGTTTTTATGATAGAGAGAGAGAGAGAAATGATGGAGTTACTGTCATAAAGATCCATTCTTCCAAGGTAAGCGATGGTGGTGGGGTTCAATTTTGCATATAAAAATAGTATACCCAATTTTTTTAACGAATCAAAAAAGCGATTTCCCAAAAAAACTAAACAGAATTCGAACCCCAAAAATCCCCTTTCGCACTTGAAATTCCTCTCATTTTCTCGGATTTCGGGAAAATTTGAGGGAAAAGTTTTGATTTTTGGATTTTTTGAAGAAAGAATGTTGTGCAGAATGATACCCAGGAAGAGGAGGACAGGAAAGGTCCTGTGTACCTGAATGTTTACGATCTCACTTCCATCAATGGCTACACTTACTGGGTCGGCCTCAGAGTCTACCATTCTGGCATACAAGGTTCGATAAATTGTTTATTTTTTGTGCTTGATCTGGTAGTTAATTTGGTTGTTTGTTGAGTATTGTTATGCCTTTGTTTGGTTGGCGAGAAAACAAAGGCATGAGAGAATGAGAGGGATGAGGCGAGAGAGGTCAGAGGGATGAGGTGAGAGTGAGTGAATTAGAGGGATGAAGCGAGAAAGGTGAGACTGATGAAGCAAGAGTGAGAGAGAGGTGAGAGTCAATTTGTTGAAGGTCGTATATTTGTACTTTCAAGCCATTCGAGCTCGAAATATTCGAGCTACGGATCGTATTTGTAAAATAAAAGTCTAAATTTGTGGGTTGAAGCCTTCATTTCTTTGTACTAACATGTATTTTGCTTTCTTCAATTACACTTTTTAATTTCATAAAAGTTCATTTATTATCTCATAAGTACTCTACAGTTAATTTACAAATTAATAATTGTTAATAATTGATACTTGAAATTTAAATTTATTTTTTACATACAGATTACACAGGTAAAATAAATATAAATCTTATTCATTACACGAATATTTTTCATCATTAAATCCATTCATAATTAAGGATAAATTATCAATAGGTCATAATAATTAGATTTAATTATCATCAAGTCATATTAAAAATAAATTCTAGTCAAATCGTCGCTAAAAATAATTTTTTATGATATTTTTTTGCATATGTCGCTAAATATTAACAATTAGTAACTTTTTTTGGTCACGATTGGTATAAGTTATCGTTCAAACTTACAATTAGTGATATTTTTCTGTGACGAATTTTTCAAATTGTCATTAAAAGTTGAAAATTAGTAACTTTTTTATGACTAAATTTTTAAACTGTTATTGAAAATTAACAATTAGTAACGTTTTTTTAATAGTGTTTGATAAAAAAATTTCATTAATTTTCACATAACCTATTAGACAATAAATTTATTTATTAGGACCTATACATAATTCTCCATAATTAATTTAGTTTCGTTTTTTTTTAAAAAAAATGAAAATTTCACTTGTAACTACTTATTTTTTGTCATTTATTTATTTATATATATATATATTTCAGAAGACTTTAAATAATTTCAATTTTACCTTAACTCTTATTAATTTATCTCATACCCTCACATTTAAACAGGAAAAAAAAATTACATTTAAACCTCAAATTTCAAATCATGGACTCTCTCGTCATTCCATTAGTTACCCAAATCCCTTCAGCGGGGCGCTCCCAAGTTCTCTCACTCTTCTGCTCTCTTCTTCGATCAGCTCGTGAATTTACGGGCTACAACATCATGGACTACACGAAGCGTTGAACAATCGACGCTTTTCGACTTCACATAGACCTCGCTGACTTGTCGGCGATCCCCACTGCCTTCTTTGTTGGAAAGTTTTAGCTCGAGGTTCCCTGAAGACAGGTCATCGTATGTTCACTCTACACACCCAAGGTCATGAGCGTCATGGAGATCAACCATTAAATCGAACAACCATGATTACGTTGAATGTAAAAATTAGAGTACATAAAATCTTTTAATTTTTAGTATTATTTCCTTATTTATATCGTTTTCTAAATTATATCATGAATCTATTATATGTACATGGCATCTATCTCATTCATGGAAAAATCAAATAATTCTTTTAATTCTTTTTGGTATCAGAGCTAGGTTAAGTACCTAGTAATTTTGCTTTACCGGGGGACGACAGCCTTGCTTTGGCCGCCCGCCAGACCTCAACCCATTTTACTGCCATATTTTCTTTTAGTATCACTTCGTAGTGACCTCTTCCTCTATCCACTAGTTTATTTCTATCATATTTTTTTCCCCTCACAATCCATTTTTTTGTGTTTCTATTTCACTTTGTTTTTTCTTCTATTTCAACCTCAAATAGGTTTCTATCTTCAAACCTATTTAAGTTTAAAAGGGGGTATCATACCTATATTATGGTATACTATAGACACCCCATTTTTGACCGTCCTCAAGACTTGGATGTCACCGTTTGAACACTCGGTGATCATCCATGTTTGTGTTCGTCCTGAGTTCTCAGAGGTCTCGGTCACGCGCCTTTCCTCAAGACCTCTCGACCTGCCTGTTTTGTGTTTGGTTTTGCACCAAACCCTTGTTGTTTTGCTTATGAGGGCAGAGAATGGCTTGTTGGCCATCCCCACACCTCACCGGCCATGGCTCGAGGCCACCGACCATGTTTTGTTTCCACCGGCCATTGGTAATGGCCGGCCGGCACTATTTATGGTCGGCCGACCATTGTTTTGGTCAATTTGTCATTTTTGGCTGGCCGATCATTGTTCATTTGCTTTTGGTAGATATATCACAGCTGGCATCCACAATGCACCCCCTCTATACACGTGTATGGAGGGATTTCCCTCTTGCTTAGCTTGTTTTGTAAGCTTTGCAAGAGTGAAGCTCTATAAAGGGAGGGCTTCTCTTCCCTGCTCAAGGGTTCCAAAAAAGTTCCAGAAAGGGTCTGAGATTAGGGTTTAGGATTTGTATCTCTCTATCTCCCTCTATTTCACTCTTGTGTGTGTATAAGGTGTATTTGTTCTTAGTTTTGCACTAGGACACCTAGTATCACACCTTACCTTGGTTGTTGAGGAGCCAAAGGGGTATTCTTGAAGTTCTTGAAGGGATTTAAGCTTGGAAAGATTGCTGGAGCTCCATTCTTGAAGAGGTCTACAAGGGCGAGATTTTTTCCTCTTTCATTTTTGCATAAGCCTTTTGCCTATCTTGCATCTGTTTTTGAGCTTAGTCTATAACTGATAAAAGTTCTGATTTTACTTTCTTAAAATAATTGTTTGAAGTTGCTTTGGTGTTTGGGGTTGTTTACCCCCCCCCTTAGGCCTTGTTTGGCCTCTTTTTGTGAGCTTCGGGACCACCTTGTATTGGCCTTCTCACCACTGAAATCTAGAGGGATTTTAGTGGTGAGGATGGTGTTTTGAGGTCCTAAGAAGGAGAGGGCCATCCCTGTCTTGTTTACTTGCATTTTTGGCCTTACAAAGGAGCCCATATTTGCAAGCATCCTAAGCTTGGTTCATGCCCTTTTTGGTGACTCTTAGGACCTGCCTAGCCTCCGTCTATGGCTGGTTTGGTCCCCTTTTGTTTGCTTCTTGCATGTGTAGAGTAACCCCTTTCTTGGCTTATCAAAGGAGCACCCCATTCTAGCATGTGTTGACTATGTTTCAGTGGGTTTTTAGTAATATTTTGGCATGCCATGAATCTGTTTTTGGCTAGTTTGGTGGTCCCTCATTTGCTTCACATGCTTGTAGTGTA